TTCATAAAACAACTTTGAAAACTCCAAAAACCAACTTTGTACAACTCGACAAACTCTACATTTATGCTTTAAGGCTCAACCCCAAAATTTGCTTATATTTTGAAATGGGTTTTCCAGGGTAGAATTAAACGCTGAAATTAGAGTTTTCGGAAATTCAAATCCAAACAAAACTTTAAACTTGATTCAAACAATACAATTCAACACATACAACATAAAGGTAAACTTGTTTTAGTGAATGCACATAAATTTTTTTCACTAATACGAAATGATGTACAATGCATATGATGACATGGTAGGTTTTAGTATTTAAAACACCTGAGGTGTTACAGTTGCTCCTATTACTGGGACTACTACAGAGATGCTCCCATTATCAGTTGCATCATCAGAGCCACCTGCTACAGTCATACCTACAGAGTCATAGGTCGCACTAGTCCTAGATCCGATCCAGACGGCTTCAGTGTCACTTCTAGCGATAGAGGGTTAGACTGCTCAGAGCTCAAGATCAGATGATGATGCTACCCATTTCCAGATCGCTCACCGTGCCTCAGTGCCCGACTCGTCTGATCCTGCCCCACCGACCGACCCTAAGGTTTTGGTGTTTGATGCCAAGGGGGGAGAGGGATCGAGTATGATAGACTTAGGGGAGCTTATTTATTACATTTGGTTTTTTATATGTGATACATTATTATGCATTCATGTTTACTTTCATGCATTGAACTACATACGTGTGATCGTGATATTTATGTGGTCATGATATTTATGTGACATGTGTGCTCTCTACTTTTATCTTTATATATGACATGTCACTTGGTTATACTCATTTGCTTTGCTTCCACGTTTTAACTCTTATGCAAATGAGCTTTACTTCTTGTACTCATGCTTATTTCATATCTTTTGAGTATATCATGTTGGCTTGGGTCATATAAGCTTGTCTAACTCTTTTGTTCTTATTGTCAAAAGCTTATATGAACCAAGCATGTTGAAAACCTCATCTCTTTTACATACTCGAGGTTGTATTGTCATCAATCACCAAAAAGGGGGAGATTGAAAGCATTTAGGCCCCTAGTTGGGTTTCGGTGATTAATGACAATACGAGATTACTGTGACTAACGTGTGTTTTGCAGAGGCAATTAAGTTAGGTCATGGCAATGGCAATTGATTGGGCAATCATGTTTGTCATGCCCCTACGATGGAAATTGTTTCAGTTTCCAAACGATGGATGACAAGGTTAAGGATGTACTAGTTCTAAGTGTCGTTTCGTGTTAAAGAGACACTTAGAGTAGTTTAGGACTTTGTTTTTTACTTTGGCCATACTATTAAGGGGGTATGAACTAGTAGCTTAACCTAGATGAGTGTAGTGGGTTAGGTGTGGTGCACACTTGTTAAATCTAGCACTAGGTAGCTCCAAAGTAGCCCTAAGATCAATTGGAGCAAATTTCATTCACATATGATTTCAAGTTGGAAGTAAATGGAGAGTCAAATGTTGATCGGACGCTAGTTCCGGTGTGATCCAACGCTGGTGCAGAGTCCGGTCAGTTCATTTGATCAAGGTGAAGTCATCTGGATGCGATCGGACGCTGAGTGAAAAGTGACCGAACACTGGGTGCCAGAGTCCGGTCAACTCCAGTAACGTTCCAGAGAGGGAGAATCCTGATCGGATGTGTCCGGTCAGTGCTGACTGAACGCTAGTTAGGTTCCAGTTACTGACCAGACGCTAAACAGCGAAGTGACGGAACTCTGGGCTCCAGTGTCCGGTCAACATCAGTAAGGGGGAGCTACACCCTTGCGCGGGTGCTCCAACGAGGACTAGTGGGGAGTGGCGACTCTCCGATACCTCGGCAAAACATCGCCGCGTTCCTTCTCCACTCTTTACTTTGAGCATTTACTTTTGAGCAATTCAATTCTTGTCTTTACATTCTTAGAATTGCCATGCTAGAGTAGGATTGGAACTTAGGTTGTAAAACTTTTGTGCGATAGATCATTAGAATCACATTTTAGGCAAAGGGGTGAAGTGGGCTAAGTGTAGGGTTTAATTATTGCAAAGAATTTTAGAATTAGCCCAATTCACCCCCCTCTTGGGCATCTTGATCCTTTCAGACAGGAAAGGAACCCTCACTAAACTATTTACGTGTGTGGGGTTGTCCAGCTGAGACAAGTATTTAACCCAAACATAGGGAACCTGGACTCCAAGACAGTCAGCTGCCATTTCATTGGCTATCTAGAAAAGTCAAAAGGTTATATCTTCTATTGTCCTGACAGACAAATAAAGTTTGTAGAAATAAGACATGTTGTCTTCTTAGAGGATGATATGATCAAGTGGAGCATGGTAGCGTGAGAAATTAGTTTTGAAGAGAAGCGGGTATACATGCCCACTCCTATGATTCAGGAACCATTCTTCACGCTACCTGTTGTTGCTGTACCAATGGTGCAAGATACTGTAGTAACAGCACCTGTTGTTAGTTCTCCTGTGGCAACAATGAATGAACATGAGGAACCTGTCCTTCAGGATCCCCAAGAACCCGTTGTCACACATGAGGGAGAGCAACAACAGCCCCATGTAGAACAAACGTCATCTAACGAGGCCCCTAGAAGGTGTCAAAGAGTCAGGAGATCAACCATTCCTAATGATTATGAAGTTTATGAATATGAGGAATTTCAAATGAAGGGTGATCCCACCTCATTTGAAGAAGCCATGAGAAGTGCTCACTCATCCAAGTGGCTTGAAGCCATAGAAGATGAAATGAAATTAATGAAAACCAACGGAGTTTGCAACTTAGAAACAATTCCTAAAGGAGCCAAGACAGTAGGCTGTAAATGGGTCTACAAAACTAAACATGACTCCAAAGGGAATATAGAAAGGTTTAAAGCACGACTTGTGGCGAAAGGTTTCACGCAAAGAGAAGTTATAGATTATAATGAGACATTTTCTCCAGTCTCATGTAAGGATTCTTTTAGAATTACAGTGGCGCTTGTAGCACATTACGACTTAGAATTACATTAGATGGATGTAAAGACGGCGTTCCTAAACGGGGATTTGGAGGAAAACGTTTATATGGCACAACCGAAAGGTTTTGTTGTGGAAGGAAAAGAACGCATGGGATGCCGCCTGAAGAAATCTATTTATGGATTAAAGCAAGCTTCAAGACAGTGGTATTTGAAGTTTGATAGTACAATAAGAAAGTTTGGGTTTCAAGAAAATGTAGAGGACAATTGCGTTTATGCAAAGTTCAAGAATGGGAAATATATTTTTCTAGTCTTGTATGTGGATGACATTTTGCTCGCCTACAGTGATGTTAATCTACTACTAGAAACAAAGAAGTTCTTGTCCTCAAAGTTTGATATAAAGGATTTCGGTGAAGCTTCGTTCGTCTTAGGAATAGAGATTCGTCGAGATAGAGAAAATGGGGTTTTAGGATTATCACAAAAGACATACTTAGAAAAGGTTCTAAAGAAATATAGTATGTAAAATTGTAAGTCTTCACCTGCTCCCATAGTCAAGGACGACATATATGGGGAATTTCAATGTCCTAGGAACCAATATGAGATCGATCAAATGAAAGCGGTTCCATATAGTTCAACTGTCGGAAGTTTACAGTATGCTCAAGTGTGTACTCGCCCTGACTTAGCTTTTGTTATCAGGTTGCTTGGCAGATATCAGAGTAATCCAGGAATAGAACACTGGAAATTAGTAAAGAAAATTTTACGTTACCTGCAAGGTACGAAGGGTCTTATGCTAACGTATAGAAGATCTGATCCCCTGCACATAGAGGGGTATACAGATTCTGATTATGCGGGAGATGAAAGAAAGTCCACGTCCGGATACATATTCACTCTCGCAAGAGGAGCTATATCGTGGAAAAGCTCAAAGCAAACCATCACTACATCGTCCACAATGTATGCCGAGTTTGTAACACGTTATGAAGCCACAGGGCAGGTGAATTGGCTAAAGAAATTCATGCCCAGGTTTAAAGTGGTAGACGACATACATAAACCACTCAAGTTATACTGTGATAATAATCCAGTAGTATGTTATGCTCATAACAATAAATCAAGTGGTGCTGCCAAACACATTGACATAAAGTATTATGTTGTGAAAGATAAAGTTCGGGATCATATAATTAGTCTTGAGCATATAAGAACAGAAAAGATGCTCGTGGATCCGCTTACAAAAGGCTTACCACCCAGCGTGTTCAGAGAACACTTAGCCGGCATGGGTTTAAGGGAAAGTCTATGATTCCTGGACATAAAGGGCCTAGTTAAGAATCTGTTTCAAAACAGAGAGATGCATTGTAGCTGTTTAATCTAATGGTAAGAGACCATGATGATGAGGCATGCTCTATGCACTGATCTGTGATGGAATGGAAACAAAAGAAAGTAAGTAAGTTAAGTTTAAGTTATAAGTGAGATCAAGAGGGAGAATGTTAGTTGATCTCCAACAATTGGCCCAACGGTCAATTGGGCCCTTGATCCGCGTCCTGATCGGGGGCGCCCAACCCTAATATGGTTGGTGGGCCCCCGTCGCACAGCGCCATAAATAGGAGGTGGGGGCCGGGGGCGCCAAGCACGAGGTTCGCCTGAGCCGCATAGCACCCCACCTACAGTCCAAAACCCTAACCGATCACAGAAGGGGCGCTGCCAGCGACGGGAAGCGCCGCCACCGCCTCTGCATCACATCGAAGGGCTGCTACGACGCCGGGCTGCCCTGCGACCTCTACACCGACCCCTGGACGATGCCGCTACTGCACCGCCGCCCTTTGACTCAGCACCGCCACCGGGTCTTCACCAAGCACCGCGATGACGAGCCCGTCTTCTTCCAAGGCGGCCGATGGTTTGCACCCCCTTCACCCCTCTCTCTCTCGCTCTATCTCTTATCCTGTACTAGTAGATATTCTAGAACTCACTGTTTATTCCAAAAGCAAGTAGACACGCTAGATCAATGGTTAGTGATACAGTCCCTGTACAATCTGTCATCGCTGAAGAACTTCGGGGTAGAATTCAACATGCTGTCTGGAACTATCCCTGCTGATATTGGCGACAGGTTCCCTGGCATAGAAACCCTTAGCTTCTCTTACAACCGGTTCAGTGGAGCTATCCCACCTTCGGTCTCCAACCTCTCTGCTCTCATAGAACTTGGCCTCGCAGGAAATGGATTTATTGGACATGTGCCTCCTGCTCTGGGGATGTTGCAAGGTCTCACTGTCCTGGACTTGGGTGACAACAGGCTACAAGCCAACGACAGTCAAGGGTGGGAGTTCATAACCTCCCGGACGAACTGCAGCCAGCTTCAGAATCTGATTCTTGGCAACAACTCTTTCAGTGGTAAAGTGCCCGGTTCAATCGCCAACCTATCGACGACTCTCGAAACTCTTTATCTGGGAGACAATAGGATTTCTGGAGCTATTCCATCGGACATCGGCAATTTGGTTGGTCTGAAATTACTTGAGATGGCAAATAACTCCATATTTGGAGCGATCCCGGAGAGCATTGGTAGGCTAGAAAACTTGGTTGAGTTGGGCCTTTGCAACACTAGCTTGTCAGGCCTCATACCTCCATCACTAGGAAATCTTACACAGCTGAACAGGCTTTATGCATACTATGGCAATCTAGAGGGGCCCATTCCAAGGAGCCTGGGAAACTTGAAGAATGTATTTGTCTTTGATCTGTCAACAAATCGACTCAATGGTTCAGTTCCCAAAGAGGTGCTAAAACTTCCTCAGCTTTCTTGGTACTTAGACTTATCATACAATGCATTGTCTGGGCCACTCCCAGTTGAAGTTGGTAGCTTGGCAAACCTTAACCAACTGATTCTATCAGGAAACCAGTTGTCAAGCAGCATACCTGACAGTATTGGAAATTGCATTTCACTGGAACGGCTGCTGCTGGATCAGAACTCATTTGAGGGAATCATACCTCAATCTCTGAAGAACTTAAAAGGTCTCGCCTTACTGAACCTGACCATGAATAAGCTGTCTGGTAGTATTCCTGATGCCCTTGCTAGTATTGGCAACCTGCAACAGTTGTATTTAGCACACAACAACTTTTCAGGTTTGATTCCAGCAGTTCTACAGAACCTGACACTATTGTCGAAATTGGATTTGTCCTTCAATGATCTCCAAGGTGAAGTGCCAAAAGGGGGTGTTTTTGCAAATGCAACGTCCTTGTCGATTCACGGAAATGATGAGCTTTGTGGCGGAGCGCCTCAACTACATTTAGCTCCATGCTCCATGGCTGCTGTGGATAACAAAAGACAAGTGTCAAGATCCCTTATGGCCACCCTAATATCAATTGGCGCACTTGTATTCTTAGGTGTACTAGTTGCTCCTATTCATTTGATCCACAAGAGGTTCAGACAAAGAAAGGCAAGCCAACTCGTTTCCACACTAATTGATGAACAGTACGAAAGGGTTTCTTATCAAGCATTGTCAAATGGAACTGGTGGTTTCTCAGAGGCTAATTTGCTCGGACTAGGAAGCTACGGTGCTGTTTATAAATGCACTTTACATGAACAGGTATTACCACAGCTGTAAAGGTGTTTAACATACGACAGTCTGGGTCCACTAGAAGTTTCGTGGCTGAGTGCGAGGCACTGCGAAGGGTACGTCACCGTTGTCTCATAAAGATCATCACCTGTTGTTCAAGCATCAATCATCAAGGTGAAGCATTCAAGGCACTGGTTTTTGAGTTCATGCCGAACGGTAGTCTAAATGATTGGCTGCATCCAGTATCTAAAGTACACACTCTGAGTAATACGCTCAGCCTAGCTCAGAGACTAGACATTGCTGTAGACATCATGGATGCTCTAGAATATCTTCACAGTCAGTGTCAGCCACCGGTAGTCCATTGCGACCTCAAGCCAAGTAACATCCTCCTTGCAGAGGATATGAGTGCCCGGGTTGGAGATTTCGGCATATCGAAAATCCTTTCTGATGGCACTAGTAAAACCCTGCTAAATTCAGTCAGCTTCACTGGACTGAGGGGCTCCAATTGGTTATGTCGCTCCAGGTAACAGAAATTCCTACTCACAATGTTACCTTCGGTCTCTAACTTCCACTCTGTCATGTCTAGCTGCCTCTGCATGTGTACTGAATCCATCGACGAAATAAACTAATGTCCGAAATTTGAATGACACTGCAGAGTATGGCGAGGGTCGATCTGTCTCAACTCTTGGGGATGTCTACAGCCTTGGCATACTGTTGCTTGAGATGTTCACCGGGAGGAGCCCTACTGACGACATGTTCAAAGACTCGTTGGACCTTCATAGGTTCGCCGAAGCCGCTCTTCCCAAAGGAGCCTCGAGATAGCCGATCCAGTAATCTGGCTGCATGAAGAAGCTAAGGCAAAAGATACTGCTGATGCTGCCAAAATTAGAAGCCGGAGCGAGGAGTGCTTGGTTTCAGTGATCCGGCTCGGCGTCTCCTGCTCAAAGCAGCAGCCAAGAGAGCGAATGGCGATGCGGGATGCTGCTGTGGAGATGCGTGCGATCAGAGACGCGTACCTCATGGTTGCCAGCTAGCTGGACGGAGATCTGGAAGAGAAGCAAGCAAGCCGCCGAATCCTCTTATTATGATTAAGTTTCTGATGTTCAAAATCATAGAAGCAGCAAAGCAGGAGGCCCAGTTCTGAACTAAATCATTGTACGGTTTAGAACCTTCATTCATAGCTATGAGCCTATGACAATGATGAAATCAACACAAATATTATTTGTTATACTCGCTTCTTGTACCATTGTGGAAACATGTGCTAAGTGCGTTCTCGAAAAAAAAACTTCTTGTACCATTGTACGCTGGTGAAGTTGCGCATTACCAGGTTTTCATATTTGGATTTGGCAAACTAGTTGCTTGATTGGCTGCTATAATATTTTTTAAGCTGAAGGTGTAGAGAGATGACGGATCGGTGGAGAGCTGAAGGTGTATCTACTGACCCTATACAGTTCATCATTGGATTAGGAAGAACAAAGAGATAAGGAAGCCCAACAGGAATAAGCAAAGGTTGATGATTGACTCTGCCCAAGAAACAGAACACCTCAATTTAGGCCAAGGAAATCTTTTTTCAGAGGACAAGGAAATTGCGTGTTTACTGGGTTTCATCAAGACAAACAAATCTGAAACAGTTGGATGCACTTCACGTCGTCGAAAACAGTATGCTCTGATGTTGATTGGACATAGACACTTCACCCACTGCCCAATAATGCGGTAGCAACTAGCCCACACTACTCACTCAAGTCTCAAGGTGTGTGCTAGTATTTGCCAGCTGGGTGCATGAGCACGAACAGGTTGATCTCGTTGACGTCCGTCTCCGGCGTCGGCTTGCTTATCATCTTGAAGAGCATGTACCCGCGCGCGAGCCTGAACTTGCCGGTGCCGCCGACCACGGCGCGCTCGATGGTGCCGGTGAACCCGAGCAGGGGGCCCTGCACGGACAGCGTGCTCCCGCCGTACTCGCCGGCGGTGAACACCAGCGTGATGGACGTCAGGTAGCCCTTGCCCTGCTCCAGGCTCGTGCCGAAGAAGACGCCCTGGTACCGCCCCACGAGCTGCGACGACCGGTCCGGGCCGACGCGTATCTCGTCGTCCACCACGCCCATGCTCCCGAACGACGAGTTGGCGCCCAGCGGGGACTGCAGCACGGCGGTGGCCGTCGCGTTCGCCCCGGTGTACGTCTCGTGCACGTACAGGTGGATGTGCGTCAGGCCGTGGTGGTCGCCATCGCTGCCGGCGGCGGCGGCAGCGAGGACGGCGACGGACGACGTCAAGGCAAGGAGGAAAAGGAGGTGGGGAAGCGAGGACGGGGCCATCGTGATGGCTGCCTTGTGGCCCTGTGTCGTCCAGTGTTTCCCGGCTTTCATTTAAAATAGGAGTACCGAGTACGTACGAATGTGGCTGTGTGGAGGTGGGAGTGGGACGCAAAAAATAGATGATGTTTTCTTTCTCTCTTTTTTTCTTTTTTTTGGACAAGGGAGCAATAGATGATGTTGACTTGCCAACAGCTTCGTGGGTGGGCACAGGCGAACCATGGTGGTGGTTGTGCGCGCCAGCTGCCTCCAGCCCACGGTGGCTGTGCGCGCAACTGTCCATTAGTCTCGTTCGTGTAATATTCTTATCTGTATTTATACGCTAAGATGTTCAGCCCACGGCTGTAGTTTTGTATACCTCTTAGAGCGTTTGCAGAAGCACGTTGTTATATCAAATATTTCTTCCTTAAATGCGTAAATCTTTTACGTATTTAAGAAAAAAAAATCCCCTCTACGGCGAGGCAATGGGCACTGTGCTCCGGGAGGCGCAGAGAACTTTTGTTGAGTCGTGCTGTGTAGCCACATTGGGCTGATGGGTTGAACCAAAGAAGAGGAGAGTTGGACAGCTCAAATCTGAAGGTTTCGTGTCATGGCGGATTGTCCACGTCTTGGTTGGACCGTGGAGAATTTTTATTTTTAATTATTTTTTAATTAATATTTTAATAATAACCACTTCAAAAAATATTTTTAGATCTGACCCTTTTGATCGCGGCGTGTGACCAAACAACGCTGTCGCGTCAACGCATGTGGCGTGGCAACATTTGCATGTTGAATGGCGTTTCCAATATGGAAAAGCTTGTCGCGCAACTCCCGGTGCCGTGACAGTAGACAAGACTAAATTTTCAAAAAAACATAACTCTTCAATACGACGTCAGAGGAAGATAATTTTTATATGAAAATTGTAGATCTAGACGAGATCTATAACTTTCTAGTTCTGAGTTTTTTCGTTTAAGGACGTTAAGACGCTCAAAAACATAATATAAAATTTCAGCACCATATTAATCATGTATCAGCGCTTACCGTATTTAAAAAATAATATCTTTTTTGTATGGTGTCAAATTAAGATACATTTTATATCAAAGTTGTAGCCCTCAATGAGATCTACAAGTTTATAGTTTTGAGTTTTCATATTTGAGGTCTTAACATCAAAACTTATCTTTTTAGAAAAATCGCATATTTCTTATTTGATGTCACGTAAAACTACTTTTTAAAAAAAAGTTGTAGATATCGTTGGAAGCTCCAATTTTAATATAAAAAGTACCTTAATTTGACACGGTACAAAAACGATATTATTTTTCTAATGCGACAAGCGCTATTACGCGATTATTATGCTACTAAAATTTTATATTATTTTTTTAAAACATCTTAACGACTCTAAATGTTAAAACTCAAAACTATAAAGTTGTAGATCTTATTGAGAACTACAACTTTCATGTAAACAATATCTTCATTTGACAACATACAGAAACGATATTATTTTTCTAATGCGACAAGTACTATTACGCGGTTATTATTTTGCTAAAATTTTATATTATTTTTTTTAGCATCTTAACGACTCCAAATGTTAAAACTCAAAACTACAAAGTTGTAGATCTCATTGAGAGCTACAACTTTCATATAAAAATTATTTTCATTTGACAACATACAGAAACGATATTATTTTTTTAATACGACGAGTACTAGTACGTGGTTATTATGCTCCTGAAATTTTATATTATTTTTTGAGCATCTTAACGTCCTTAAATGAAAAAACTCAAAACTACAAAGTTGTAGATCTCATTGAGAGCTATAATTTTTATATAAATTTCATCTTCATCCGACGTTGTATCAAAGAGTTATGATTTTTTAAATATTTAGTCTTGTCACGCCACTCCCGGTGATACGACAGAACAATACTGTCACGCCAGTAGGAGTGGCGTGACAACGTTTTTCACGTCGGAAACGCCGTCTAACGTGGCGGATGTTGCCGCACCATTGCATGTGGCGCGACAACGTTATTTGGTCACGCCAGCGGGTTAGATCTGCAAAAAAAAATTAGGAGCGATTATTATTAAAATATTAAATAAAAAGGATTAAAAATAAAATAAAAAACCGTCTGGAAACGACTCTCAGGTTCATGGTGAAGCCACCCCTTCATGTTACCATTTGGCATGAACTCAAAAACTAGTGCCTTGAATTCTTCACCCTGGTGACTGATGCTTGAGCAGCAAGTGATGATCTTTATAAGACAACGGTGCCGCACCCTTCGCAGTGCCTCACATTCAGCCACAAAACTTCTAATGGGCCTGTTCGTTGGTTGGTGCTGGTGCTGGTTTTTTGTGAGCTGTTGGCTGGCTGGTTTGGGCTGGCTGAAACCAACAAGCGAACAGGCTGAATAGTCCGAGTCTACTGTGTTGTTAAACACCTTTACAGCTACTGTAGTGCCCTGATCATGTAAAGTACATTTATAAACCATGCCATAGCTTCCTTGTCCAAGCAAACTGGCCTCAGAAAATCCATTGGTCCCATTTGACAATGCATGATAAGAAACTCTTTCATACTGTTCCTCAGTTGTGGATGTGAGTTGAGTTTCATGCCTTTTTCTGAGCTTCGAGTGGATCAACTTAATAAGTATAACTACTGAAACTAAAGCTACAAGCACACTGATTGATGTTAGGGTAATCATAAGGGACTTCGAAAAATGCCTTTTCTTCTTTTCTGAAGCAAACATGGAGCATGGAGCTAAATGAAGCTGAGGTGTTCCACCACAAAGGCCATCATTCCCTTGAACGGACAGGTTCATTCTATTTTCAAAAATACCCTTTTCTGGCACTTCACCATGTAAATTATTAAAGGACAGATCTAATTTTGACAATGATGTCAAATTCTGAAGACATGTGGGGATCAATCCAGACAAGTTGTGTGCTAGATACAATTCTTGTATGCCGCCAATACTACAAAGGGCATCTGGAATACTCCCAGACATCTTGTTCATGGTCACGTTGAGAACAGAAAGACCTTTTAAAAATTCTCCAAAGATCGAGGCACCCTGCCTTCAAACGAGTTCTGATCCAGCAACAACAATTCCAACGATTTGCAGTTTCCAATACTATCAGGTATGTTGCCAGACAACTGGTTTCCTGACAGAAACAGTGCGTTAAGGTTTGCCAGGCTACCAACTCCAGTAGGAAGTGGCCTAGACAACGAATTGTGTGACAAATTTAAGATGTAGGAAAGTGCAGGAAGTTTGAAAACCTCTCTGGGGACTGAACCATTCAGTTTCTGCGCTGAGAGATCAAGAATAAACAGGTTCTTCAAGTTCCCCAAGCTTGCTGGAATTGGACCCTCCAAGTTGTCATTGTATAAAGCAAGTGTATTCAACTGTGTAAGAAAAGCGGCCATGTTTTGTAAAGGTATAAAGCCTGACAAGCTGGTGTTGTAAAGGTATAAAGCGGCCATGTTTTGAAGCCTACCAATGCTCTCTGGAATCCCTCCGGATATGGGAATATTCATAATCGCAAGTACTTGCAGACCAACCAAATTACCTATGTCAGATGGAATAAACCCAGAAATCCTATTGTTTCCTAAGAAAAGATTCCGGAGAGTTGTCGACAGGCTTGCAACTGAACTAGGAAGTTGTCCACTGAAGGAGTTATTGTCAATATACAGGGTCCGAAGCTGGCTACAGTTTGCTAGCATCTTCATGAATTCCCACCCCTCCCTGTCACTTGATTCTAGCTTGTTGTCGAACAAGTTTAGGGTAACGAGACCTTTCAATCTCCCCAGAGTAGGAGGAACGCGCCCACTAAAACTGTTTAGCGCGAGTTGCAGAAACATGAGAGCAGAGATGTTGGAGAGTGAGGGTGGGATAGTTCCATGGAACTTGTTGTAACCAAAGTTCAGAGTTCTGATGCTGGGGAGCCTATCGCCAATATTACTGGGAATAGTTCCAGACAGGGAGTTTGAATCAATGGAGAAAACTTGTAGCCTAGACAAGTTGTACAGAGAGTGTGGAAGCACACCTGAGAGCTTATTTTCGTAGAGATAGAGGAAGCGCAGGCCTCCAATGCTGCCGAGTTCAGGTGGTACGGGGCCTTCGAAGTGGTTTGTAGTTAGATCGAGAGAGTACAGAGCCGACATGTTGGCTAGTGATGCCGGGATATTGCCGGAGAAGCTGTTGTTTCCCAGCCAGAGCTTCTGAAGGTCTGTGAGCCTGTGGCCGAGCTCGACAGGAATACGGCCATGGAGGTGGTTGTTGCTGAGTGTCAAGAACAGTAAGCTGACGCAGGAGCTGAGGTTGGCAGGCAGTTCTCCGTTGAGCTTGTTGTAGCTCAGGTCGAGGGTCTTGAGGCGTACTAGGCGGTCGATGCTTGCAGGGATGTTCCCCTGGAACCAGTTGAAGGTCAGGTTCAGCACTCGCAGGAAAGTGAGGTTCCCAATGGCCGGCGACAGGGTGCCAGCGAGCCCATAGACGGGTAGGCTCAGCGCCACCACTCGCCGACGCCTAGCCCCGCACCTGATCCCCTCCCAGCTGCAGAAGCCGCCAACGCTGCTACTGTTCCACGAAGCATGCGGGTCATCACCATGACCGCCGCTGATCACGGCGGCGGCCTTGAACTCCAGCAGTGCGGTCTCGTCGCCGGCGGCTTGTGCGGCCACGAGAATCGAGATGGACACGGAGGCGGACAGCAGCAGCGGCAACAGCAGTGAGCTCGCCGAGGCCGAGCGCATCGCCATGCCTATTCCTCTATTTGCTCCACTGCTTATTGGGTATGGATGGGTATGCAGCAAGTGGTTTTGGGTTCTTTTTGAGTGTTCACTTCGAACAGCGCGGCTTCGTCATGGCCCTCTGCGGTCACACCACCTTTATTTGCCGTTATAAATGTCCATGCAGCCCTCGAGGCCCGGTGGCCCGGCACATAGCCGGCAAATTTGGCTCGGGCCCGGTGGTGTGCGGGCCTGGGCTGGCCCGGCTCGGTAGAGCAAGCCATGCTTGGGCCGCTACTCAGGCCCGCGAGCTGGCACGCCATGGCCCGGTTTATAGGGGTCGGCCCGGCAGCGGCCCGAGACCTCCCCCAGCGGCGAAGCGGCTCAGCGCAGCGGCCAGCCGGCCTAGCCCCACAACGCCTCAGCCCCCGCGTATATAAGCGACGGCCGCAACACTCTCCCTCCTCAACCCTAACCCTAAACCATTTCCTCCCCCACCGTCTTGCCGCTCTGGCCTCTCGCCTCGACCGCTCGACGGTCGACGCCTCGCCGTCTCGTCTGCTGGCGTCCGACCTCGCCGACCCCGACTCCGGTGACCTCGAACCACCTGTCGCCGGCGACCTCCCCTGATCCCCTCCCTCTCTGCCTCTCCCTTCTCCGTCTCCCTGTCTCCCTCTAGATCTCGGTGATTATGTGAGTTCGTTGTCCCCGTCTGTCCCTCCTCCGCCGCTCGCCGTCCTTGCTAAACGGTGTGTCGTCTTCTCTGGGTGGCCGTCGTCTTCTCTGGCACCGGGCTCCGGTTGCGCAAGTAAAACACTAACCCTCCTCTTCTATCTTCTTCCATTGATGTACTCTGATGTGATCTTTTCATCCTCCTCCATCTCTTTGCGCAGGTCGGTAGCCGATACGTCGTCCTCTAGCTGTGGCATAGAGCGACCAAGGCGGCCCCTCGCACCGTTGAGGACTGGAGAGCCGTCCGCCATGGCGGCTGCTGATGATGATATCGTCTGCCCGCTCACCGGCAACGATGACTTGATCGCGGTAGGCCTGGCCCCTGAGGATGACGGCAACACCAGAGAGGACGTTGTTGCGTTGTTCGGTATCGATGTCGGTAGCGGCTCTGCTGCTCTGACTCCGAGCGATCTAGACGGCGATGGTGGTGAAGGGGCGACGGAGACTGGGAACCCGCTGGGCTCCAACTCCAACAGCTCTGCTCCATCTATTGCTGGTAACTCTAATATTGGTAAGCGTAAATTACCTGTGTGGGCTGATTTTGATGAGATATATGAGACTGTGAATGGTAGGAAGATATGCACTAAAGCTACCTGTAAAATGTGTAAGCAAACCTTGTTTGCTAGATCTAATGCCGGCACTGGCCACTTGAAGGGGCACCAGAAATCTTGTAGGCAAAAAATTGATCAATGTGCTAAGGTTCAGTCTAGGTTTGCTTACAATCCTGATGATTCTGTGCATAACTGGGACTATAAACCTGATGTTGCTAGATCTGAGTTGTATCGTTTGATTGCTAGGCTTGATCTGCCGTTAGATATTGGTGAGACAGAGGCCTGGAAAGAGTATATTGTTCGTGCTCACAACCCTAGGTTAGTTAAGGTATCTAGACAGACCACCACTAGAGATCTTAGCAAGCTGTTTACTGAATGTCGTAATATTTTTAAAAACTCTATATTGTTTGCTGCCTCCTCTGTTGCTCTGACATCAGACATTTGGTCTGGTAATGCTAAGGAGGACTACATTAGTGTTCTGGCTCATTATGTGAGTGATGATTAGGAGTTACAGAAAAGATAATTGGTCGTCGGTTGATTGAGATGAAACATACTAGTGAAAATATTGCTGAAAGAATTGCTTATGTGGTTCAGAAATTTGGTTTGATTGACAAGGTTTTTTTCTGTAACTCTATACAATGTTTCTTCTAATGCTAAGGCTATGAAAACTTTGACACCTATGTTTGCTAGTTATTTGGGTTCTGATCCTGCACCTGATCCTTTAGATCCTAATAAGCATAAGTATAGTCTTGTGCATCAACGTTGTGCTTGTCATATCATTAATCTGATTATAAAATCTGGTTTAAAGAGGTTCAAACCTTACATAGAGGATTTTAGAACTGTTATTAACTTCTTAAATTCTTCTAATCAAAGAATTACTATGTTCAAGAACTACTGCACGGCTCAGGGTGTTAGACCTAGAAAGTTTGGCTTAGATATGGATGTTAGATGAAATGCTACATACCTTATGCTTAAACACTTGCTTTCATATAAGAATGTTTTTTTCTGTGTTCATTAATGCCAATTATGGGTCAACATTGTTAACTGCAAGGCATTAGTATATTGCTGAAAAGATATTGGAGTTCGTGGAAATTTTTTATGAATCCACTATTGTTCTTTTTGGTGTTTACTATCCAACTAGTCCACTTATTCTGCACCATCTGCTAGACATTGTTTCTCAATTGCATGCAAGTGAGTGAAAAGATCAAAATCTAATAGTTGTTGTATATCCTATAAAGCTTAAATTTCTTAACTATTGATAGGATATACCTCTGTTATATTCATTTGCATTTATTCTGGATCATAGAGCTAAGTTGAGAGGTTTATTTAATGTTCTTCAAATACTAAAAGAGAACACTGGTAGTGGCTACAGTTCTTATAATGCTGATGTGAAAACTGAAATTTACAAATTATTTAACAAATATGAGAGAAAGTTTGGTGCAGCTTAGTCTCAAAGGGCTGCACAGCCTGCAAGCCATACAGGTAAAAAAGACAGGCATGGGAAAGAATCTTTGGAAGCCCAGGATCATCTGGTGTTGTTGGTCCTTCCCCTGCCTCTCCCCCACTCCATCTCTATCTGCTTCTGCTGCTGCTTGTGAGCTCTCAACTTATCTGGACAGTGTGCATATGAGGATGACTTTGATTTACTTCTTTGGTGGCGTGACCATAAACTAACATTTTCAGTACTTTCTATAATGGCTAGAGATATTATGTTTGTTCATGTTTCTACTGTCTCCTTAGAATCATGTTTCAGCTTGACAGGAAGGATAATTAAAGAGCGGCAACGACGCTTGTTGCCTGAAACTGTGGAGATGTTGGCTTGCATAAAGGATTGGGAGTTAGGAGAAAAAAAGGTTGCAACATGTTGTTGACAACTGAAAGGTCCTTGTGTGGTTTTGGTAATTAAGTGACAACCTAGGTGGACTAATTGTGTTTATATGAGATACACAGGTGATTAGTCCATATGTACATGTGTGTGAGCAACATATGCCATGAAGACAAAAATGGCTTGGAGATGTTACAAAGCTCACACATATGATGATGAAGGAGCTCATTGCACATGAGACATGACATTGAGTCATGTGATCAAGGTGGAGAAGATCAAGATAAGACTTGGCTTGATGGACCGGTTGCAAGCGTGAAGGGTAAGTCGAAGGCTTTGGAGCGATGGACCGCGTGGCGGTGAAGCTTGAGCAAGACTTGACGCCGATGGACGAAGGCAACGGTGAAAAGCAAGTGAAGTCAAGATCAATGAACCAATATGATCACGTGATGATATGAAGTGGATCATATCATTGTTGATCATGTTGGTGCATGTGTTGCATCAACAATTGGAGGAGATGGAATAGAATGCGCAAGGCAAAGGTATAACTTAGGGCATTTCATTTTACCGGTCATAGGTGTGTAGAGAAGTCGATGATCGGATTTAGGATAGATGGCCGTACTATCAAGAGGGGCAAACTTGTTTGCATATCGGTCATCTAGTGCCACTCGAGTGATCTAACTTTGCATCGTCGCTAGGATTAAGTGGCGTGGCAAGTTAAGTAGCTAATCCTTTGGAAAATGATTGTGAAAATGCTAACACACATACACATGATGGTGTACACTTAGTGGTGTTGACACATTTATAAAGGAGATGAAGTTGGAGTTGATGTGGATCAACTCGGCGATGAAACGGAGGAGAGAAGGGTTAGGAACTCCACCGACGGAGTGTCCGCCCGTAGAGTGCGGATAGTCCGACGGTGCCACCAGCGCCCTATACAGAAAAGACAGGGTCTCACAAAGTGGACCGGACGCTGGTCACGTGATGACCAGACGCTGGGGTCCTGTGTCCGGTCAATGGCGGCAGAGAGCGTGTTGGCATCGGTCTTCGACCGGACGCTAGTGCTGCGTCCGATCGTGACCGACCGGACGCGTCCGGTCGCGACTGGTACCTTACTGGAAACGGCCGGACGCTGGGGTTGCTACGTCCAGTCACTTTGAGCAGCTGCGTCCGATCGTCACTTGACCGTTGAGATCAAGCGACTGAGGTTGAACGGTGGCGACACATGGCGAGCATCCGTGGACCGGACGCTGTGGTCCTACGTCCGGTCGATATGACCGGCGTGTCCGGTCAACCCGAAAAACGCCCAGTGAAGGAGTAACGGCTAGTTTAGCCCGTGGGGCTATAAATAGAAGGGTGTCTCAGCCATGGCTGGTGTTGAGCACCTCGGGGGACTTTGTGTCCATGCTTGTGAGTGCTTGGGAGCCCTCCATCTCACATATGCTTGATAGTGATTATCCGATTGTGTGAGAGAGCGATTCTAGTGCGATTGCATCGTGAGGTTGCATCGAGTGGCACTAGATGATCGAGTTGCAAGCCGGTGGTGCTTGTTACTCTTGGAGGTTGCCACCTCCTAGATGGCTTGGTGGTGGTCTCCGTCGAAGCCCGCAAGAAGCTTGTGCGGTGCTCCGGAGAAGAGCTTTGTGAGGGGCATTGTGCTCGCCCCGCGGGAGCCGCGAAGAGCAACTCTAGTAAAGTGTGTCATTGAGCTACCCTCATTTTTGGGGTAGGTTCTTGCGGTGCCCGACGTGCGGGCTTGGCGGGTGATGCCAATTAGCCACCAAACCACCAAGTGAGCGGTCAACACAACGGGGACTAGCGTGTTGGCAAGCACGTGAACCTCGGGAGAAAAATCACCATGTCAACCTTGTTCTTCTCGTTGGTTTGCAATCCCCTTACACAAGCTTGTATTTATATTTTATATACATTGTGCTTGTGTAGTTGCTCTTGTAATTAGTTAGCTTGTGTAGCTTACTAGTTACCTTCTTGCTTGTGTAGCATAGAAGTAGCTCCCTTGCGTGGCTAATTTTGTTTGTGTAACCTTGTTAGTTATATTGCTTAGTTTGTGTAGCTAAGTAATTGCGCTCTCTAATTTGACATTGGTTGCCTTGTTATTGAGCATTGCTAGTGAGTTTATGTGGCTTTGTGCTTTTGCTTACTAGCTTGTGTAGGAGCTCCCTTGTTGCTTAAAGTACTAGTGGCATAGGTTTGTGTGACCTTGCTTCTAAAATTGGTTAGGTGAGCTCTAGCTAGCCCGACACCTTTGTTGCTTAATTAGTATCTTTGGAAGGTGATAGAGAACATAAACAAAGGGGTGTAGTCTTGGCTAGACCGATAGTTTTAATTCCGCACTTGTTTCGGTTAGCCGACGTGATTAATTTTAGAAAGAACTATTCATCCCCCTTTAGTCCGCCATCTCGACCTTACAACAACCAAGAGTTGGAAAACTCCTTCGAGAATCTCTATCTTGAAGATGCATCTGGGGCTGCTTCTGCTGGCACATCTGCATCTGTGGCTCCTGCTGGTACTTAGTGTCTATGTGAGACTTGAGAATTGTGAGTGTGAAACTTGAGACTTGAGAGTGATCTGTTATCTGTATCTGAGACATTTAAACAATGATGGAAGACTTAATTAAGAGTTGTGCTGCACTTTTTTTTTCTTTCTAGGGTTTTTCACAAAGATGATTTTTACCTAAAAAGATTTTTAATGAGGCAGTATTGCACAAACAGCTCATTTATCTTAATTGTCTTATCTGCTTTGGTGCTTTTGTCAGAAGTTATAACTTAAAATCAGTGATAAGTTTGGAATGTTATATTTGTGATTGTGAATGAGTTTGGCTAATGGCTTGTGAATGAGTGTGAATGAATCTGTGCAACTATGAAAATTGAGAAGAGTGTGATGGAAGCAATATTTTGAGGTGTGTTAAGGTCACCGGGCCGTGGGCTGGCACGACACGGTGATTTGGCCGTTCTTAGCGGGCTGGCACGGCACGGCACGATTTTCGGCCTATAGTGCCATGCTTAAGCCGAAGGTCAGGTACAAGGCCCGTAGAGACACGGCACGGCACGGGAGGCACGGCGTGCTGTGCCGGCCCGACCCCCTGCAGGTCGTGCCGGATCGGGCTGGCCCGATGGCCAACTATATTTGCGGTCGTAATCCAGCAGCTCTTGTCCCGTAGGTCCACGCAAGGGTGGATAGATGTCATGTGCGGACGGACGTACGCAAGGCGTAGGCGCGCCCGCGACGTACGCCGCGCGGCTGAGCGCGCAGAGCGCGCGGTCCACCAGCCCGAAGGGGCAACTTCCAGTGGCTAGAAATCAGGGATTGGATTAGAGGCTGTTTTGGTTAATCCTATAATTAGAGGAATTCCTTCCATAGTTGGTTGAGTCATTGGCTATTTATTCCTGTAAGCAGGGAAGAATGAATTAAGCAAGATTAATCTCCTATTCTCTTCTTCCTCCACGCCTCCTAAGCCCAGCCGGTTGAGAGGGGTATAACCTCCACCCTGGAAGACTCAGCCGGAGACTACGAGCTACGTAGTCGAGGGCCAGCTACCCTAAACTACAGTGCCCTTGACAGAGCGGCTCACAGATATCACCCACCTCAACTTCTCCCATACCTACTTTATTGGTCAGATCCCCATTGGAATTTCCTGCCTCAAGAACCTTGCCACTCTTGATTTTTCTGGTAGTTATGGCGGGTTGTATTTTCAAGAGCCAAGTTTCCAAACATTCATGGCAGCAAATATGAGCAATCTGAGGGAGTTTTTTCTTGATTCAATGGATTTATCTAGCAGTGGGTCGACTTGGTCTACTGCTTTAGGGCAATCAGCTCCTCAGCTACAAATTCTTAGTTTGCCTAGGTGTTTTTTATCAGGTTCTATTCACTGCTGAGTCTTGGTCTACTTCGCAGAAAACCCGGAACTCAGTGGCAAAGTGCCTGAGTACTTCTCTGAGTTATCTTCCCTGATGAGTCTTGACATATCAGACACTTATTTTGAAGGGCAATTTCCAACATCGATCTTCCAGCTAAAAAGTTTGAGGAAGCTTGATTTGTCTTCGAACCCCATGCTTTCAGTGAGACTAACATATTTCCCAAATGGAAATAATTTGCAGGACCTGAATCTACTGGGGACCAACTTCACTTATGACACTCCACTCTCTTTTGGCAATCTGACGTCCCTCCAGACTTTGAGCCTTACCACGGCAACCATGGCCAAGGAACTCCCCGCTTCAATATGGCTTCCGTCACTGAGTGAACTAGACCTAGAGGGATCTGGGTTGGAGAAGCGAGTATTATCTTGGGTTGGCAATCTTAAATAATTGAAATACCTGAAGCTTGATGACTAAGACTTCTCTCAATCGGTACCTTCTTGGATCGGCAACCTAACAAGGCTCGAAACTTTGCGGTTATGGGGGTGCGATTTCTCTGCGCCAATACCACACCAGATTGGATATCTCACAACTTTGACAGATTTAGAGTTCTTCAGCGGTGATGTCTCTAGGCAGCAAATACCATCATGGATCGGCAATCTTACGAAGCTGACATATTTGGATCTCAGTTATTGCAATTTCTCAGGGCCGATACCCTCAATAATTGGGAACCTGATCCAACTTGAAGAGCTGACGCTTTCTTGGAACTACCTCACCGGTGAGACTCTTAAAATCTCAATTGCTTTCTTCATAAATCAATATTACATGCCGTACTTAAATGGTCAAGATTCAAGAGGCTAAAAGAGGAGGGGAACAAGAGGTCGATTAGACTTTTATGCTCTTGTGGAACAAAGATAAAGTTGAACTATTTGAATCTTTTCAAAAAAAAGTTGAATTATTTGAATGATATATACGAAAATTGTTCTCTGAGGCCTTCTGAAACAAATGAATGAGTTCCTTCAAATCCTGAAAATACTGTGGAATAGCTTGTTTTTTTAGGAATTTGGAAGCATTCTTGACTTCTTGTAAGACCCTGTTTGGTTCCTATGAATTGAGAGGAATTGAAAAATAATTTAATAATAAAATGGGAAGCAATTTTTAGATATTGGTTTTAATTTATGGGATTCAACCAGACCCTAAGAGATTTGTTAGATATTTAGGCATATGGATGGGAATGGGTCGGATCGACCCAAAATAAGGCATAAACATTAATGTTAATTAGCATAACAAATAAACTCCACGGTGCAAAAAAGTCACAATTTCAATTTGGTGCATTATTAGGATGTAAGCAAAATCCTGAAATATATATGCATCTACTTAGAGAAAATGAAGAATATTGTTATGTTAAGTACAAGTGCATACTGGATTTCATTATACATTAATAAAATTTGGAATGTTCTGACTAGTATTCTGTCGGCCTTGCATGCAGGAAACATTCCAGAGTCTCTGTTCGCCCTTCCAGCCCTGCAATATCTTTATCTTGATACGAATCAGCTTTCCGGTTCCTTGGAAGACTTTCCTCATCCTTTATACTCAGGATTGTCGCAAATCAACACAATTATCCTAAGTGATAACCAATTGGCAGGCCCAATACCAGAATCACTTTTTCAGCTTAGAAACCTTCAGTATCTGTATCTCGACTCAAATAAATTGATGGGTACAATAAAACTTAGCTCTATCTGGGGGTTGACAAATCTCACTGAGCTTGACCTGTCTAACAATTTGATATCGCTCATAGACACCAAAGGTGATACTATAGCTCCTTATCTTCCTAATATCGAGTACTTAGCTTTTGCATCTTGCAATCTTAAAAAACTTCCAGCTGCATTGAGATATCTTGACACTATTACAGACCTTGACCTTTCTAATAACCAAATTGAAGGGGCCATACCAAGTTGGGTGTGGGAGAACTGGAAGGACCAACTTACCACTTTGGATCTTTCACACAATATGTTGACTACATTAGAGAAGTCACCTTCTCTTGTTCATATGACGACTTTAGCCTTTCTTGATCTCAGTTCTAATAGACTTGAAGGAACCATACCAATACCAGTAACCCGGTCTAGGGTTGTTGTGTTGGATTACTCAAACAATAGCTTCTCCATTGTATCTAACTTTGGCAGGCATCTTACGAATGCCATCTATATCAATTTGTCCAAGAATAAATTAAGGGGCCATATACCAGCATCGATTTGTAGTTTGAACAAACTTGATATCATGGACTTATCTTACAACTACTTTGGCGGACCAGTCCCATCATGTCTCATAGAAAGAGGAAGCCTGACTGTATTAAAATTAAGAGAAAACAGATTGCATGGGGTGCTGCCAAAAAATATTGGAGAAGGATGTAAGCTTGAAACAATAGATCTAAATGGAAATAGAATTGAAGGTACGCTACCTACATCACTAGAAAATTGTCAAGATTTAGAGTTCCTTGATGTCGGTAATAATCATATTGTTGGTTCCTTCCCAGCTTGGGCGGGTACTCTTCCAAACCTTCGAGTTCTTGTATTGAGATCTAACCAACTCAATGGCACTATAAGGGATCTTCATAGTGTCAATGAAAGTAATAAAAGTTTCTCAAGTTTGCAAATAATTGATTTATCCTCCAACCATTTCTCAGGTTACTTGCATTAAGAATGGTTTGTGGGTTTAAGATCTATGATGAATAATAACAATGACAAGGGACAAACTTTAGAGCACTATTACAAACACCCAGTGCCAAAGGATGAAATGTATCAAGATATTTTCACTACCACATACAAAAATTTTGATTTTACTTTGACCAAAATCCAGACCGCTTTGAAAGTAATTGATTTCTCAGATAACACATTTAATGGTTCCATTCCCAAGTCAATTGGCAGGCTTGTTTCACTGCATGGACTTAATATGTCACACAACAACTTCACGGGACAGATTCCATCACAGCTGGGTAACTTGACTAGGCTGGAATCTATGGATCTCTCTTGAACCATCTCTCAGGGGAAATCCCACAAGTTTTGACCTCTCTAACTTTTCTCAGTTGGCTGAATCTTTCATACAACAACTTGACTGGAAGAATACCAGAGGGAAACCAGTTCTTTTCGTTTCCATACAGTTCTTTTGAAGGCAACGCTGGCCTTTGTGGAAGTCAAGTGCCTAAACAATGTGACAATCCTGGTTCAACTACTCCAAAAGCGATAGACCATCAAGAATCCAAAAGTTTGTGGCAGGACAGACTTGACGCCATCCTTCTGTTCACATTTGTTGGCTTGGGGTTTGGAGTGGGTTTCGCATTGGCAGTCTTGTCCAAAATCTGTCGCCGCATAGAAGGATGGATTTGCAAGCATTTTTGTATCCATAATATGTATGTGTAAAACCACTATGGAACATATGTCTGGTATTGTTTCTAAAAAGGAAAACGAGAGCCATATGTATTTGTGTTGTTACTATATATGGTTAGATGAGAGAGGTTAAATCTACTTCGTTGTTATATGGTTGCAGTTTTCTAGATTATTTTGTGCCAGGTCCGGTTCCCAAAGACGATGGTGTTATCTCAAGGTGAAATTAAAGGTCTATTTTAAAATTTTGTTCTAATTCTCAAGTGATAGGTTTAAACACATACATTAGTGTAGTTCATGGAGTAAAACTTAGACCAAACTAAGCAGAACTGAACTCCACGAAAACGCAATAGGCTGTAGAAATCTAGAAGTACAGGTTGTGTCTGTCAGAACCTCAACTGAACTCCATGAGATCGTCGCTGCCTAGCTGCGCATACTGGCGCAGTAGACAACCAGTCATGTGGTGACCCTCCACCCCATCGGCTCCAAGTCATCTTCACGAAGCCTTCCGCTCCAGCCCAAGAAAACAATCGACAGAAAAGAAAAAAAAATGGAGGGTGTAGAATCAAGATGAACTTGCTGAAATTTGAGGTACCTAGAGTCTGAGCAATCATTTGCATGAGGAACAGTCGGGGGAATTGTGACTAGGGGCCTTTTTGTTTTTAAGGAGGGGCCTGTTTGTCGGGGTATATTTTGGCCAGTGCGCTGCACCACCGAGCCCCGTCCTCGAGAAGGAGCTCCCGCCTCAAGTTCTTCAGGTTTGCGACCAACGTCTCGAGCCGTTTTACGATCGTGGTGAGAAACCCATGCGAGATGAATAGGACGCGCCGTCATCTTGGACCATTATTTAAACGGGTTATAAGGTCAAGGTGGCTGCTAGGCCGAGGGCTCTTAGCAGCCCTTTCCGTGCCTTCGGTCAACATAGATTATGTCTGACCGGTTCAAACCCACGACTTCAATCCTGGTGTCCTAACCACTTCAACTCAAATTGACTTTATCCAAAGGAGACATTCTCAGAATATGAATAAAGAGGTTTTAAAAAAAGGAATATGAATATTAGTTAGACCATACTCCACAGTATGGCGATACAAAGGTTCAAGACATAACAAAAGAAACAAGACTCCACCCTCAATGCTATTCTTGTTTTGCCATCCAAATTCGTTGAAGAATTCGAGCACCATAATCTCTAGCAAGCGATAGCCTTCCTTTAGGGGCCGTTTGGATCCTTTCATTCGAAGGAATTGAAACATACTTAATAAATTAGGCTATTTGGCTTAGAATTTGACATTCCAGCACTTTCTAAATTTCACATATAAGTGTATCTCAAATTCATAGGATGGGAGATGAAAATTTATTCTATAGATTATCATCATATGTTTCTATTCTATAACTTATAACACGCTCTTCAACTCACATAGAATGCAACACATAAATATCTCTCTCATATAGCCAACAATAATATACAAATATAATTCATATACAATTATATTAGCTTAATTAATTTGTGTCTAAATTATGATTGTTAAAATGAATTCAATTCCAAGGATCCAAACGGGACCTTAGTGAAATTCTCCCTTACTCTTGAGACAGCTGTGGTCATTGCTTGATCCAATACATCCCCAAAATTAACCAGCAAGGCAGCAAGAATGAATGAGATGTAGTCCTTTTGAAGACAGAATCATTTCTACACAACCACATAGCCTAGCACAGGACCGCAACGCCAATCTGATTTCAAAACTCTGAAGAAAATATTGCAAACAAGAACCAAACATAAGCTACAGTAGCAGGAGGTTGAATATTAAAAATGGTAAAAAAACACCACTTTCCAAAATGACCTTTCTATACATAATCGAAAAAAGGTGTTGAATAGTCTTCTCATACCCAACAAACAGCACTTAATGCACTCCTTCCAACATCTTTTTGTCAAATTATCCCTTATCCTTATAGTCAAAACAGTACTTAGAGAATAAAGAGGTTACCCTATAAAAGATCAACAAAAAGAAATTCAAGTTGCTCTAGTTTTCAGCTTGCCTCGCTGGTCATGAGTAATTGGCATCATTGCCAGTCTTTCATCAGCTGAAAATGTTGCTGCGCCTCTTCATCAGGTTGACTTTTTCAAGTTTTTTTATAAAGCTCTTTCTCCATGAGTTCGATGGAGAAGAGTTCAATCACAACCAGTGCCAAATTAAGCAACACCTGAACCCATCACGGTGGCAAGTTGCAGGTCAAAATAATTCTGAGTACACACAATAATTTCATGGGGCCCCATACATGCATTGTTGATCAGAAAAACAAATAAGGCTATTCACTTGTGGCCTACATATATGGCTTGAGCCCTCGAGGTACTGGAACACCATCCCAAGCAATAAACCAGCAGCGTACAGGAGATATCATGATGAGCTCTGGACACTCAAAATCCCTAGTCTTCATGCTCCTGGTTTTGAAACTCTGCTCCATCCACACTTCTGCTGGCGGTAACACTAACACCACCGTAACATGCCTCCCTTCTGATGCTTCCACCCTGCTCCGACTAAAGCGATCCTTCCTGAACTCTACCAACCTCACGTCATGGCAAGCAGGGACGGACTGCTGCCGCTGGGAGGGCATCGTCTGCGACACGACCACCAGGCAGGTGATCATGTTGGATCTCAGTGAGTTTGATGTCAAGAGTCGGGGCCTTGATCCCGCACTCTTCAACCTCACCTCACTGAGAAACCTTAGCCTTGCCAGCAGTGACTTCATGGGAGCGAGCATGCCATCAGTTGGATTTGAGCTCCTCACTGAGATGGTTCACCTAGACTTGAGCAATACTGGTTTCATTGGTCAGGTCCCCATCGGCATAGCCCAGCTCACGAAGCTGGTCACGCTTAACTTATCCATAATTTACGCTTCCGACTTGGTTCTCAAGGAGCCGAGCTTTCAAACACTCATAGCAAACCTCAGCAGTTTACAAGAGCTCAGTCTTGATGGAGTGGATATCTCCAGCAGTGGGGAAACATGGTCCATTGCTTTGGCTAACTCCACTCCTAGACTAGAGATTCTCACACTGAGTAATTGTGGTCTATCTGGATCGATTCATAGTTCGTTCTCACAACTCCATTCACTAGCCGAGATCGACCTCACAGGAAACACAATAGTTGGTGAGGTTCCTGAGTTCTTTGTTGACTTCCCTTTCTTGAGCAAACTTGACTTGACAAGCAATGACTTTGAAGGGCTGTTTCCCGCAAGGATATTCCAGCAAAATCATTTGAGGGTTCTTTCCGTGGCTGGTAATCCTAAGCTTTCTGGGCACTTACCAAATTTTCCAGTTGAGAATAAACTGGAACAGCTCATTCTGGCAGGGACAAATTTTTCTGATGCGGTGCCCGAGTCCATTGTCAATCTCAGGTCTTTGAGTGTTTTGGTGCTTTCAACAGATGGAACTTCCAAGCAACTCTCCTTATTTGGTGAGCTCCCCTCTCTGGAAGTGTTAATGCTCCTGGGGTCATCTGGTTTAGAGAAGCCTGGATTTTCTTGGATCGGGAATCTTAGACATTTGACCACTTTGGAGCTTTATAACTACAATTTCTCTGAGCCAATACCCTCCTGGATCGGCAATCTTACCAATTTGGTGTCCCTGGAGCTCGTAATGTGCAACTTATATGGAGCAATACCCCCCTGGATTGGCAACTTGACCCAACTTTCATTCATACACTTCGGTCAAAACTACCTCACTGGTAAGCTCCCACATGTGCATTGTATTCTAATTTGCTGGTAACCTCCCACATATATGAATATTAAAATACACTATAATACGGCCAATGATGAAAGCAACTCCAGATCATGTGTTGCTCCATTCCTTGTACTCTAACTTGCTGAGAAAATGGTAATGTTACTGTATTAGTTTGGTCCACAGGAACAAATAAAATCTTGAACTGTTGACTTCTGTCCCTGGTTCTTTTTCATTCATTACTATAGCACATTTGCACTTACTAAATACTATCTACACATTAGTGATGGTATAATGTTAATCTAAGGATGCTTAGTCTGAATTTAGAGATTCATAAGGTCACTTGTGAACCCCAAAGTTTGAAGAATTAACAAGGTACTTCGAATATTATTTGTGCTTACACTACAGAAGTAAAAGTTTAACATAATCTGATGGTTCTCACTCATCAGTAATTCTAATTCAGTGACCTACTTTCATCTGTATTGAATTGACAATAGTACATAAAGGGTATTCTAGTTAAAACTTGTTTCTTGCTGTTAACATATTTTTTATTCACATTGGTGTCCTTCACTGAATCCTTAAATGTAATGTGATGTTCCCAGTTCCCACATGCTCAGTTTAAATGATGGCTATTTTGGTACTCACATATTAAATTTAATTCAACACCATTATCATGAATCAAAGAACATTGATTTTCTAAACTAGTAGTCACCTTTTACATGCAGGTAAAATTCCAAGATCTTTGTTCGCTCTTCCTGAACTTCAGCAATTACGTCTCCTGTCAAATCAACTTTCTGGTCATCTAGAGGAAATTGAAACTCCTTTGTCTTCATCCATATCCTTTATTGAGTTGACAGATAACCAGATTGGTGGTTCGATACCTCAATCGTATTTTCAGCTTACAAGCCTTGAAGGTCTTTTCCTTGGATCAAATAAATTGA